AAGATGAGAACTGGCGACTTGGTAGTACAACTTTAGTACGCGGAGTATCTGGGGAGTGGGAAGATGAGAACTGGTGACTTGGTAGTACAACATTAGTACGCGGAGTATCCGGGGAGCTGGAAGATGAGAACAAGCGACTTGGTAGTACAACTTGAGTACGCGGAGTATCTGGGGAGCTGGAAGATGAGAACTGGCGACTTGGCAGTAGAACTTTAGTACACGGAGCAATCTGTGGAGCTGGAAGATGAGAACTGGCGACTTTGTAGTACAACTTTACTACGCGGAGGTGACTTTCGAGAGGTGAAGAACTTGCAGAAAACAGGTGTTCCTGCGCTTCAGAAAGACATACAGAGAGAGACACATACACACACAGACATAGATACACACACACACAGAGACCCACACACTGCCTCAACACCCTCGACTTAACACTTCACACTGAACACTTATAACACACTTAACAGATAACTCGCACTCTGACTTCCTACGTGATGAAAAATGCTTTCGGGCCACTCGTCGTCTAGTTTGCATTTGCATCATCTGCATGGTAAGGTGTAGCTTTACCGAGGCCGATGTGTTATAGCTTCGTGCAGCTGTGAATGCATAACCTCTTACACACCTATACAAGTTCAATGCACTAATGAGACTTCAAAGCTGTGGATTGCTGCACGTTTCTCAAGGTTATCTAGCGGCTTAGGGAAAGGGAAATTGAAGTGCTATACCTGGCCTTTGAATTGTAGCTACCCCAGGTCCGTATAAATGCTCTTGTGCTATACCTCTTACACACCTATATAAGTTCAAAGCACTAATGAGACTTCAAAGCTGTGGATTGCTGCGCGTTTCTAAAGGTTATCGAGCGGTTGACGGAGAGGGAACTTGAAGTGCTATACCTGGCAACTGAATTGTAGCTACTGTGGTGTAGCTTCGTGCAGCTGTGAATGCATAACCTCTTACACACCTATACAAGTTCAATGCACTAATGAGACTTCAAAGCTGTGGATTGCTGCACGCTTTTCAAGGTTATCTAGCGGCTTAGGGAAAGGGAAATTGAAGCGCTATACCTGGCAACATGCTGTTTTTGGCCAACCACGTGCTGGTTGACAAAAAACGCTGGCTTTCGTTTTGCAGCTTCTAAGGTGTTGTGATGCTGTCCCAGTCATGTTGTGATGGTGTGGCGGTTATGTGATATGGTGTCCAAGGAAGACATGGTCGATGTGTTGAAGACAGCAGTTGTTTCCAGATTTTGCCTTTTGTCCTAGTTTGTATCTTGCTATAAGGGTCTCCAGCTGGGCTAATTTGCTTCTTGCTGTGACCAGTGCAGATGAAACCATATGAAACCATGAGGTTGGTACTCAACGCTTCAAACCTGGAGCATCCAATTCGTGTCAGGTTGGGCGCGTCGCTTTTGAAACGACACGAGTGGTAAACCATTTTTGGGTCCTGAAACCACCTGATGTATTTTGGTTTGTCAAAAAACACATTGAAGAGTTTCGAGGCCAGGGCAAGGCATTGCCGGCACGGTCTTCACGAATGTGTGCCCTGGCAACGAGTGAGTGTCGGCATTCACGTGGCACTGCTGTGAGCACATGTAACACAGCACCAGCTGCACAGCACCAGCTGCACAGCACGCACCGGCAGCTCAGGCAGTCGGTGAACATCGCTGAAGCTCAGCGCTGCAATTGGTGTGTCGGACGCCGATCGTGTCGGAAGACCCGACGACCGCATTTGGACGCCGAAGGGAGTCAACGGAGCACCCACCTTGGTCGGTTTGTTCGATGTCGAGCGCAGTGAGAAAATAAGGACTGCTACAATGATTCGAGATTTGATCAATCCTTTGAAGCTTGGTGCAGGCTTTAGCAACTTTATCCGACTTGACACCAACCGCCAGTATTTTATTCAAAGGCTGACGCCCCAACTCCGCACTATGATAGAATACTGAATACACACGACATGCCAGTGTTTTGCATCACCTGTCATACCCCATACACCAAAAAAGTATATAGCAAATACAGAATTCAGAGGTACTCAATGAAAGGATTGATACAATTGGCGTAAAGAAAATACTTGTCACGAAAGCTAGCCTTAGCTAGCTGGAGTTGCTCTTGCTTTAGCAAGTTAAGTGACGGGGTGGACGCACCTCAGAAACCTCAAATAATTGATTAAATCAATCTTATGGACCCCCCCCCCGTGGTGGGGAACTTTTAGACCAATGCGCCGCCAGCCTTTTCTCGCATAGGTTGCTCTTTGGCAATCTTGGATGAATGTCTCTGCAACTGCTTCATATTCATGAAGCTGTTGCATGGTGGTAGCTCCAGAATGGAGAACTCGCAAGGGCATTCCGAGCTTATGATAGGCATGAGGCCATAAGTATTTAACAACGAATATGTCCAAGCAAACTATAAGGCAATTGAAACAATGAGATCACCAGACACATAGGACGTAAGATGCCAAGTCCTCAAAGCCATGTCACACGCCATCCAAAAGCTTGCGCACGCGTGAGTCAACCATTGTGGACTCAAAAAAACGCAAAAATGCAGTGGTCCTAGGCACACTATGCAATCCAGAAAACATTGGTCAATAAGCAAGTAAAACTATTTCACTAAACAAAAATGTGTTGAAATAGAGGGGTGTTGATACATATTGATACCTAGGCACACTATGCAATCCAGAAAACATTGCTCAAGAAGCAAGTCTAACGCACACTTATGCCACAACAAGTTGATACATCTCCATATGGATATACATATATATATATATTTATTTGTTTATTTATACATATATGAAAATAGTATTTAAATTCTGTTTTATGTGCACATAGAGTACTCACACAAACAGGCAGTTCATACTTTTGCACATATATGAGGAAACGATTTGTAGATAGCAGAATAACTGTCAGCCTGCAGCAATGTGTAGTTCACGATATGTACGTTTTTTGAGTCCACAATGTTGGACTCACGCGTGCACAAGTTTTGGACGTGTGCCCAGTCCCAAACAAAAGAAACACAAAACATCCTTTCGGAATGTTGCACGACCATAACATGCATCAACACCCCTCTATTCCAACATATCTTTGTTCATTGGAATAGTTTATACGCGCGACCTACAAAGGACTGCAGCAGTGTGCTTAGGTTGTGTCACGCGCCGGGCGTCTGCGATACATGCCTGCCCTTGACACACCTAGTTCACGTGGCAAAGTGAAGGGTGTGCGTTTTCTAGAAGCAGAGCTTGGCCGCTTCATGACACCCTTCCTGATTTTCTTTGATTCTTCTACCCTTTGCGCAGTCAATTTCAGGTTTTCTCGAGCACCACCTCCACGTTCACGTTGCCCCTGCACCCACTGTTTCCATTGGTTCTTGGACCATAGTGGATGCCCAACCTTACGGGCTAAGATTTGTATATTCGTCATCTGACGAGTTGTTGGTGCATGAAGTGCAGAATCATGAGTCCAAAGCTTAGAGAATTGTATAATTTGGAGCTTCAGTTGAAAGGTGCTGCGGTGCACACTCTGAATTTGGCGAAACCACAGGTTCAGCTCTGCATGCAGTGCTTCATTGCTTGTAGTGCCGGACGGCATAAGCATCCGAGTGGTTGCGCACAGGTTGTGCCGGTGTCTTAGAATGTTGAACAACCACTCCAGTTTATCTGGAGCTGTTGCAGTGTACAACATTCTGCCAACCGTCAACATTCTTCCTTCGAGCTTCCGCCCCATTTCAGAAAAATACGTCGAGGACAGCGCTGCCAAGGCTTCAATGAACTGTATTCGTGTTGGCCATACTTGTAGCTCCTCAATTGATACCAAAACACGTGAAGCTCGTGCTCCCGACATTTTGCCGGTAAGGATTTGGGAGCGTAACCCTTCTTCTTGTGCAGATAGTCTCCTTGCATCTTTGCCTGCAAACATTGGACCCCAAACGTCGCTACCAAGTCTTGGGTCATGTCCTTGAAACTTATGCAAACATTTTCTGAGGAGCATAGACCCCTGTGTCTTCCGACTCCCCGAGCTTTGTTCGTAGCGCATTGCAATGTGAGTGGCATCAAGCGACACTCCCTGGAGGCTAGGCAAAACTTTTCGCAGCTCTTCCACAAGACTGGCGCTTGGTGCGTCCACAGAGACATGCTTCACTTGATGCAGCGCTTGGGGTGGCAGTGCTGTGGTAATACAAGTTGCAATTTCTTCTGGACCTTCTCCGGCAGCAGGTAGTAAACCGACAACGGCGCCTGTTCGCCCTTTGATTGAGATGACCCTTGCAAAGGCATCTGCACCGTGAAATGGAAATTGCTGCTGCACTGCTGCCGGATCGTTAAACTTTGCTTGGCCTAACACACCAAAGCACACTCGAAAAGTACCATCAATTGACAGGTACGTGTATTCATCTCTGCCGATAGCACGCTGTTGGATACTTTGAATAATTTCTTTGGTAGCCGGGGTGCTGAAAATATCTTCTACCATTGGCCACCAGCTGCTGGTGTGTGTTGGCAGCAAATTGGCTAAAGAATTTTCTTGCGCAACTGCACGCATCATGAAACGCGGCCAGGTGGTTTTGACCTGAGACTGGTTAGCTGTCTTGATACATGATAGCAAACAACTTTAAAACTACCAGCGCAGATGAAAATAGAAAGATTCAGTTGTTCTTTTTTTCCGAGGAACCTTTGCATGGTTAACAAGAATCTCCTGGAAGAGAACCTCTGCGAAAGCATGTGTCATCCACAGGTTCCCAACACGTCTGGCCAGTAGTTGTTTATCCACAGCATGCTGGTGAACAAAGCGTGGACCAGAAGCATCCAGCAAAAGACGAATGTGCTTGTCAATCTTGTTGGATGTAGTAGAGAGACTGGGACTCACTGTTTTCCTTAATAATGCAGAAGTTCTCCTGAGGTATGCTCCATGAGTCTTTCCTTGTCGAAGCATATCTTCGTCGTGAAAGGCCAAAATCATCCGCAGTTGCTTGGTGCCAGAACAACAAAATTGATTCTTGGCGTTGTGATATTTTTGCAAATGCGCTGCCACACGGGAACTTCTTTCAAACGATCGGAAGGGACATGCAGGACAGAAGATTTTTCCACCTCGGCTGCGCAGCTTTCCTTTTTTGGCAGCCTCAATGTAACCCTGCACTTCTGCTTCCAAAGTTTGCAGTAGGCTTCTCTCAACTGTGACACAACCTTCACCGTTGAGCCACTGTAGTTCATGAGGAGCTTCTGTATCAGTGTTAACATCGTCATCTGCATCACGTAAGACGAACGTATCACATTGATCGGGCTCTTCTTCGTCTTTTTCGATTGTAGCTTGCCGTAATCCTTCCAAAATGCAATTTGCACTGCTGTCAGCGCTGCCCCCAATGGCATCGGCTTCTGTTGGATCTTCTCCAGGCTCTTGATGTCTACATCTGCCTCTGCGCGCAACGGCGCTGGAAAGGAATCCTTCCTGCACCGCTTCAAGTGCACCAGCTGATGCCCTCTTCGACAAACAGGCTGCGTCAACAGCTGCATTGTAGCAAAGACTACCGGCTGCTAAGTCCAATAGCTGCTCCACATCCTCATTTGTCAAAGCAAGGCCCAAAGCGGTCATATTTTCATCAGGGTTCAACGCATAGATAACAGATGTAGCTCTGTCGACGCCTTCTGCCATTGCTCTTGTGAAGTCTGACATAGATAGCTGAAAACACCCATCCACGTCCCAGAGCAATACTTTGTCATCATCTTGAACTTCCAGTCCCACACAGTGTGGTAGGCCATTGTTTTCAATATGAAGCACCCACTTGCCCAGCGAGAGCTTCTCTGCCATCAGAACAGGCAACAGCTTGCAATCAAACATCTGTGAACACTGTGAATAGGTTCGGCAGTTGCGCTCTCTCTTGTATACCTCGCGCGTTCTAACGTTTTTTCAAGAAGTTTGCTGTCGTCAGACACCCACAGACCTTTAATGTAGGAGCAGAAACTCTATAATATGTTATCACCTACATTGTTGTTTTGCACAACACAATGGAAACTCTTTTTCAAATACAGGACTAGCTTCATTGTCAGGTTGGGCGTCGTCATTCAATTTCTCCATCGCAGTCTCACGCAAAGCACCCAGGCACGCCAGAGCGTGAGGAATGCAATTTCCAGAAGAGGTGAGGAGATGAGACATTGGAAATTTTGATTCCATGACTTCGGACGCTTTCGCTTTCAAACCACAAAGGATTGTCAAATGTTTCTTTTCCTTGATGTTGACAACAAAGGTTGTATCGTCTTGAATGTGCGATTCGCTTTGCTTACAAAGATCTTCTGCTGATACACCATCCATGGCTGAAATGCGGACACCGTCAAAGTGTAAGGATAAATGCTTGGGAGAATACCTGCGCATAAGGAAGCCATACCAGGAAGAAAGAACATAGTCTTCACAGGCGAAGTATAAAGCAGACAATATAGATGATTCTGGATTCTTCTTGGAAGTGTCTGCGCAGAGGGCCTCATACTCCGATACAAGCAAAGAAGCAGCGAGCCACCTGTACCAAATCGAAGCTCGTTGCAATCGTTGCACAAAGTCTGACTTGGCTACCTTTTGTGGAGGCGTGCCACCGTATAGGATTGCAGTCAGCATATGCTTTCCCTCATGCTCTGGCATCTGGAGGTATTCTGCACATACTTTTGTGCGATCTGCGCATTGCCTTTTGCAGCTGCTTCAGCTGGAAAGGTTTGCCACAACACAAGTCATATGCGTTTTCAATATATAGTTTTCTTAAATTAGCACGCAAAACCTTTCGCAAACCATTCTTTAGCCAAGTTGCTTCATCACTTCTTCTACTTCTTGCGGTATTGGAGGTGAGACCCGCAGCTTGTCAGACAATTGACGGAGA